ATTTACTTCTATGCTCATAAGAACCGCAACAGGCTTTGTTATTGCGTCTATGGGATTCAGTCCATTAAAACGTCATTCTTTGTACTCCATTTTAAACTAAGTGGCTTTTGAGCTTTAAAAAAAATCCATTTCTGATTATTTTGAAATCTGGATACATGGTAAGTGGTGAATAAAGACAATGCTCCAGATAGGCAATGAGCAAGGGAGAATGATGGCTGGGATTTAGAACATCATCTGTTTTTACTCACTTGCATGCTAAGTCAGTGATGGTGATGGTGATGGTGATGGTGATGGTGGTGATGACTCCTGAAATTCATAGGCCCTCATATCAGAAGGGATTTGGAGAGGTCTTCCAGTATATCTTCTTCAACTAACAAATGCCTGATTCATTCCTGAAAGATGCCTACCTTATTTTACAAAATGCTCCAGGAATCTTGAAACCTCTGTCTTTTCCTAATTTTCAAAAATTACTTAATTTTTGGCTATGCTGGGTTAGGTTAGGGTTGCTGTGCATGGGCTTTCTCTAGTTGCAGCAAGCCAGGGCTACTCTTCGATGGGGAGTGCGGGCTTCCCATTGTGGTGACTTCTCTTGCTGCAAAGCACAGGCTCTAGGCACTGGGGCTTCAGTAGTTGTAGCCGGCAGGTTCAGTAATTGCAGCGACTGGGCTCTATAGCACAGGCTCAGTAACTGCGACCCACGGACTTAGGTGTCCCTTGGCATGTGGAGTCTTCCCGGGCCAGGGATCAAACCTGATCCCATGCATATGCAGGCAATTCTGAACCACTGGACCACCAGGGAAGACCTTTCCCTGGATTTTAGTCAGAGTTCCCTTCTTTTATATGTTCTTTTCCTCCATTTAAAAAAATAGCAACAAATAACTATAGAATAACATAAGGCTTCCTTCATAGCTCAATTGGTAAACAGTGTGCCTACAATCAACCCGGGTTCAATTCCTGGGTCGGGAAGATCCCCTGGAGAAGGAAATGGCAACCCACTCCAGTACTCTTGCCTGGAGAATCCCATGGACAGAGGAGCCTGGAAGGCTACAGTCCATGGGGTCGCAAGAGTCGGACGTGACTGAGTGACCAAGCACACAGCACACACACAGAACAGCATGTTGCATTTTTTCCCTGAACCACAGCAGAAGGAATTTAAAGGAAGCAAAAAGAAGTAAACTATATGGTCATGGGCAACAAGAGATTGATGATAAATGGGAAGCTGAGTTTGGGGACAGAGACGCTGGAAATAACTAGTTTAGCTTCTACCAAGACAGAAACGCCAGATTCACTCTGATTCTTTGTTTTCAAATTCTGGGAACCATGGTGTGGGTAAAGTTGAGTCACTTGGAGAGTCTGCCAAAACCTACCTGTTTCTTTGGACTTTTATTTGCAGCAAGATTTCTCTGATTTCTTCAGAGCTGAACTGAGTGAGCTCTTGGCTTCCAGTGTTGTACACATTTGCTGCCTTTGAGAAGGGATATTACTATCACTTATTGAATTTCTACACTATGTCAAGCACTGAGCTTTGAAATATCATATAATTTGTTCATCTCAGCCATCTGGAAAGGATTATTATTCCCACCTTGCAGATGAGAGCTCTGATGTTCAAAAATTAAAGTGCCATCCCCATGGTACCCTGACTGGTAAGTCATGGAGGTGGATGGAGCTCAGCTGTATATGCTCCATAATCACTCACATGAAGATCAGGAGGACACAGTGTCTGCTTGCCTCCCTAGATTCTGACTGAGGTGGTCATGCTTCCTCCTGCGCATCTCTCTGGTCTCCTCCTCTAGTTTATGAACCTACAGCTTCATATTCTGCCAAGGATGAAGTGGTTCATCTCACATATTTGCACATATTTGAATCTTTACTGTCAGCTCTAACTCATAACATCAAGTTGGGCCTGTTCTGCAGTCTTTGACTTGCCTTTCTTCCATGGGATGAACACTAACTTTTGCATACCTATTCACCCCCCAGGGTGGCATTTGCCAGACCACACATTCCACTCTGGATGGGGCCAGCTAAGAGCTGACTGGGCCCATCCCTTGGCCCATGTGTAGGACAGTGTGTGTGCCTGAAGAATGCCCAGGGTGGCATATGAGCTGTGATTCAGAGGGGTAGCTGCCAACACACCTGAGGGCCCAGGCCCCACTCTGCTGGGCTGAGGAGGAGCCAGCTCCTCTGGCAGATGGTCTGGTCTCAGACTGCACCAGGCAGGGTATAGCGAAGAAATAAGGCCGTGTGGAAACAGAGTTGTCACTGTGGCCTTTAAAATCAGATGAACGGCCTTTGCAAACTTCTGCCCAAAAAGGGATAAGAATAACCCTGACCCCACTTCCAGCTCTTCCTCAATCACTTAAAGCTGAATGAAGAGCAATCCTATTTGGAACAAGAAGATGGATACAATTCAGGATGGTGGAGGCCGTCTCTGGGTCCCTTTGACGACCTTCAAAATGAGGACAACTGGCTTTGAATTTATTATCCAATTATTTATTGGATATTATTTATTTATCATCCAATTATTATGCAATCCTTGAATCCCAAAGACCATCCCTAGAGCAAAACATGCTCTTTGAAGGCTGAGGACATGGGAAAGCATGGTTCTCCATGGGGAGGGGAGGGGGAGTATCTCAAACTGGGAGACTTGAGGAACTGGGCAGGATGAGAATACAGAATAGGAGTGTAGGCTGTGTGTAACTCTGCTGTGTCTGGGGGAGAAAGTGCCCTCCCCAGGAAGTGGGATTTGACAGGAGGCACCCCTGACTGCCCTGTGTTAGTCAGCCTTGTGTTAGTGCCAGGGCCCCAGGCTTCTACCAAGTCATACTTTAGAGCTAGCCTCAAGCTTCCCTGTTTATCATGGAAATTAATAAAAAATAAAGTGAGCTTTCTTCAGGTTGCATCTTAAGAAGCAGTTCAACCCAATGCATTGTGGTGGACCATGCAGGAAAGGCCTTCTCTCTTGGAGGCTGGGGTGGGGGGGTTCTGAGATAATACGTGACTCAGCCCGTCATGGGGGACCCCGTCGGCTGTGACAGGCCTGGTTCTCACCCAGGAGCAAGGTACTAGGCTTTTGGGTGTGTGTGTGTGTGTGTGTGTGTGTGTGTGTGTGTGTGTAGTGTAGTGTACACAGAAACTGTCACACCCACACCCCACATGCACCCACACCCTACATGCCAGAGCAGGGTGCAGTCATTTGTTGTCCTTATCTTAACCTTCTCACCATTTTCAGAAACACTGAGCCTTGACGTGCTGGGTCCCTAAGGACATGGTCCAGAAATGCTCAGCAGAACTACAGGGCACATTTTCAACCTGCTTCCCTTTATCCGCCCCCCCATATTCGGGCATCGTGGACTCCAGCCAGGTCATGTCTCTGGACAGTATTTATTTCCTAAGGGGAAGCAGGGACTATGTCCAGCTATGTCCAGTCTCCAGCCTTGTATTCAGAAGCCCACACTGCCTACCCACAGTACCCTCTGGCGTATTTGCAAGTTGCACGACTTGGTCAGGGAATTTGGGATTAATATGAGTCATTAGACGGCTACTTTCCCAAATTAAATAAGAAGCCACAACACTAAATATGATCCTGAATATTTAATGTCTGCTGTTTCAGAAGACACCTTAGAGCTTGAAGAACTTTCAGGTTAGACTTCTGCTGGTGACTGCCGGTCCTGAGGGTGCTGTGTGGATGGACAAGGGCCCTGCTGGAGGGGCAAGGCCTGCAGTGTGGGCGGGAATGGGAGCCCCAGCTCTGACCTCAGCTCTGTCACTAATGGCACATTGACCACGAGGAGTCACTTCCCTTCCCTAACAGGATTGGATTAGAGGGTCTCTATGGCCCCCCCCAGCTCTGCTGGTCTATACATAAATAATTAGCAGAGAATGTAAGTTGCTGATTTTCCATAGGAATTGAGGAAATCAAAACATAATTTGCAATCATGTAGACAAAGGCTTTCAAGAGTTTCTTGGTATTTACAATGTCTCTAGGCTTGAGTTCCCAACTCACTGGTGGCCCAGCCCTGGCTCCAGTCCTGTGCAGATGGAGATCCAGAGCAGGAAAAACAGGGATCTCGGAGTCAGGGCCCATCATAGCTTTATCACTGAGTTTAACAAGCCTTAAGGACAAGACCCTCCCCAAGGGAAGTATGATGTGTAGATATTCATCCCGCCTCCACAGACCAACAAGAGTGTCAGGATGTGTCTGATCCTCAGGACTAAGGACAGTGAGAGGGCAGCAAACAGCCTCCTTGGCCATGGGCCTCTGTCTAGAAGGCCAGAAGAGACAGGGGACTCCAGCAAGGTCTGAGCCAGTCTCCATCCACTGTGGGGATTCTGGGAGACCCACGTTTCATGTGACTCTGTATTTGCCTAATGTCATGGGAACGTCTATTGTCTCATTTGACTATTTTTCTCAGGCTCAGCCATGCCTCTCCACTCAGTTCTGGCTAGGCTGAACTCTACCCAGCATAAGAAAAATTTCAACCAGAGCAGAATTCTGAGCAATGACTCCTTGTGTCATATAAATAGCGTCAGTGATACACACAGCCTATAAAACATACACACACACACCCTCCTGTGGAAATCCTCTTCAGGATCATTTGTGCAGGCACTGAGGACTTCCCTGTAGCTCAGACAGTTAAGCATCTGCCTGCAACGTGGGTTCGATCCCTGGGTCAGGAAGATCCCCTGGAGAAGGCAATGGCAGCTCACTCCAGTACTCTTGCCTGGAGAATCCCATGGACAAGAGGAGCCTGGCAGGCTACAGTCCATGGGTTCGCAAAGAGTCGGGCACAACTGAGCGACTTCACTTTCATTGGCAGAGCTGCTGTGAATATAAGTGTGTGCTCCAGCTCTCCCTCAGAGAGAGGCCGCCATTGGAGAGGAGCCGCCCCCTGTCTAGCTCCTGAGTCGCGAGGTGGGGAGGCTAAGTCGAGCTCTGGGTCCCACCTTGAGTAATGGGGTGCGGGGAGGGGGCTGTGTGGGTTGGGCTGGTGGCCAGTGGCCTACTCCTTCAACAGGCCCAGCTTCTTCAGAGCCTCCCTTCTGTGTTCATCGGACACCCCCTTTGGCGAGATCCTGACGCTGACACAGGGGGCCCGGGGCAGCTTGTCTCGGCTCTGTCCCTGGTAAGAAAGGTGCTTGGGGCGCCCCTCCTGCTCCAGGTCAGCCAGCTTGCCCACCTGGATACCCTCGAAGTCCTTCCCCGTGCCCAAGGAGGCCGGGCGCGGCCGGGAATTACGCAAGACGCTGGGCGAGATCCTGTCCGGCAAGGAGCCTTTTTCCAGAGAGTTGCTGGTTTGGGGGCTGGGCGCTTTCTCCGCTGAGAGGTAGCTGCTCAGCCCGACGCCTGACCGCTCCAGGGTGCTGGACTTGAAGCTCATCTGTCTGAGGCCAGGGACGCCGCTCTCCTGGAGGGTCAGCCCGGAGTCTGGCTTTTGCTGAGTCAGGGGACTGCGTGCCCGCGGGCCCTTCGGGACAGGAATTGGCGTGGATTTGGCAGCTGGAGCTGTCCCCTGAGTGGGCTCCTGGGAGGGAGCCAGAACCTTATCTGGAGAGGGCGGCTGGGCCAGAGCTGGCGCTTTCCCGGGAGAAGGGCCCCGCGTGGGTGCAGGGGCCAGGGCCCTTCCGGGGACCTGGGCTGGGGCCGGGGACACGGCCTGAGCGCCAGTCTCCTTGAGCCTGACGGAGGGCCTGCTTAAGCGGGGGCTGGGCTCCTCCTGGTCCTGCGGCAGCCCCAGCTTCTCCAGCGCTTCCCTGCGTGCTTTCCTCTGCTCCTGCAGGGAGGACGAGGCGGGGCTGGGGTCCCCGGGCGCAGCCTCCGAGCGGCGGGACAGCCGGTTTTGGGGGTCGCTGTGGAAACTGCTGCGGCTGCTCTTCAGGATAATGTTTGGCGGCAGCTTCCGGGGCTTAGGGGCCGTGATGGGGGCCGGCCGGCCATTTGGATGGCCCCCAGAAGGGACGGCCGCATCTCTAGCGCCTGCATCCCGAGAGGACACCAGGGGAGGAGGCCGAGGTAGTGCAGGTTCCCCGGTTGAGCCTTTCTCACTGGCTTTTTGGGACATGGCCTCTGGAGCCGGCTCCCTGTTTCTCTGGGAGCTAAGTGATGGGTGGGCCTGGGGCCTGGGGCTCAGCTCCCCTGGTCCTCTGGGCAGGCTGCCTTGGCCACGCTGCTCGGGCTGGGCGTCCTGGAAAGCCTCCGGTGGGGGGATGAGCGCCCCGACCAGCTCAAGGGCAGCCTCTGGGGGCGTGGCCAGTGCCTGGCTGGGCTCAGGGCTCTGGCTGACCCTCTCTGTCTCAGGTCCCGAGACAAGTCCCTCGGATCCCCCTCGATTATGGCTGTTAGTCAGGGTGGTGCTTTTTCTGAGGTTCTGGTTTCTGCCGATGTGGATATTTCTGGGGAGGCTGTTGGAGCCAGACCTGAGGCCCAGGCTTTGGGGCCTGGGGGGATGAGCTGAGCTGAATGGAGTCACTCTTTTTGGCTCCGGTCCTCGGACAGTTGTCTCCTCTGGATGTCCTGTAAGAGTCAAGGGAACAAGTGAAGAAGAGTAGGCAGTGAGGACCCTGATGTCAAGGGGAAAGAAAGTGCTTCCCAAACTCTGATCTCAGATCCTCAATGGATGGGTTTTTGTCTGTCTGTTGTTGCTGTTTCTTTGTTCTTGAAGGACAACACTTTTGTCTGGATATCATTTAGACTGACAGATCAATCCTAGCAGATTTCTTTCAGCCAAGGATTAGCATTTCTCAGTGGCTGGGGAAAGGGCAGCACAGACAGCTCTGTGTCCCTGACTCAGGCTTTTCCTAACCTCTACAGATGCAGGATGGCTGGGATTCAGGACAGTCCCTCTCGCCGTCCTGGGGCTCCCCGGTAACTGGGTCCAGTGGGAGCACTGAGCTTGAAGAGCATCAACAGGTGATGTGCTCCTGCCCCACCAGGCATCTGCCTTCCTCCACCTCCACTTCCTGTAAGAGCTTGGATGACTCTGTAATGGCCACAGCTGTCCCTGCGCCACAGTGTGATATGGGCTCTTCCCTTCCAGCGAGGAAGCATAAGCATCAGGCCCACTGGGCCAGGAAATCAGCGCCAGGCAGCAGGGGCAGTCCCACGTCCCCACTTCCTGCTGTATCACCACAGACAGAGGGTCTAACATATTGTCAATAAATTTTTGCTAAGTGTATGAAGAAGTGGTTGCAGTCCTAATACCAATAGGACTGTCTTCCTGGGATGTATGGCTACACTTACATGCCACCTTTGTCTCCATCTCCTGAGCCTCATCATCATTCCACGCTCTCTCACAAGGCCCTCAAGATGCCACCCACTGAAACTAAGGGAGCCCCTCCCTCTTCTTATCTCCTGCAGTCTCATCCTCTGGGTCACCCAGATTAGCTCCCCAGACTGACTCAGGTTTTCCAGAGCCAACCACCCACCCCTCCCTGGTTCTCTCCCCCACCTCGGTGGTCAGATGGCTTTAGAATGTCTCCAGAAGAGAGTGGGAGCCGGTCAAATCCCCTTCCCTCCCAGACTTTTGATACTTCACACAACGACACAAGAAGCTGTCTTGGACAATCCCTCCTTCCCTCCAGGGACAAGGCTTTATTCTAGCCGCAAGTAGAGAGAAGAGTGCTTGTTCCTTCTTCTGCCCATGACTCTTAGACCAGAGGGCAGACGAGAGGGAAAGCGGCCAGGAGGATGTAGTGTTTTTTGGTTGTTTAGACAGTCTGTCTTACCCTGGGGAGCAGGCTGGGTCAGGGGAAGTGCTCGGGGACCTCGGGGAGTTGTGGCTTCCTCAGACTCGCCAGTGGACAGCCCGCTGTCAGCCTCGGTGTCCAGGGAGCCAATGGTTTCCTCCAGGAATAGCAGACACTCCTTCTCTTCAGCGGACAGGAAGTCGTAGCTGCTGTCACTCTGGAGTGAGGAGAGGGCGGGGGAGCTGTGACAGGCAGCTCTCCAGAAACTGGTGGGGCCCAAGAGCCACCCTGCCTTGGGGAAGGAATGCCGAAGAGCCGGACACCTCCCCACCGTGCCACTCTGCAGACCTGCTGGAGCTGCTTCCTGAAGCCGAGAGCACTGGGAGGGCAGAGCCTGTCGGGCTGTGGTCCCCCTGGCACCCAGCTCCGACAGCTGGGCAGGCCGACTGCAAAGGGCTTTTCATGTGCTAAATCCTGGGTGGAATGCTTATGGGCACAGATTAGAAGGCCCCGGGTTCTAATTCTACTTCTTCTGTGTGACCTATGTCAAGTGCTTCAACTTTGTGTGTAACATAATGATTTGATTTTAAACCTGAAGCAATACCTAAACTGGTATTGCTTTGAACTTTTCAAAGTACTTTTGCATCCTTGATGTGGCATGTCAAGGACAGTATGAGGACAAACAGGAAAGACAGTCAACTACTCGCTGCCAGGCTAATAGGAACAGTGGCACGACTAGTCACAGATAAATTCACTAAATAATTTATACTTGACTTTGAAATGCATTCCATGCAGAATTTTTTTTTCCCCTTGTGTATTTACTTTCCTGATGGCATTTGGCTCTGGCTAACATTAAAAAAAGTGTGCATTTCTTAAGCAAATATTAACTTAAGGGAGGAAGGTGGACAGACTGGTATGGGCTGTGGGGAGAGCAATTGAGTATTAAATATTATGCAGAAATTGAGATACGTGTTTTTATTATGAAAAAGCACACAGGCATGTTTGGAAGAACAGGTTATGGCCATTTCAGATGCTTAGTGCCGTGTTTTGCAAGGCCAGGAAGATCCATGGAACAGTTGCTCTTCAAAGTTGAAGGTTGAAGGGAGGACGAAAAGGGCAGATGGGAATACAGGAGATTTGGCCTGAGTCCCTTCTTAGCGTCTCTACCCCTCTTCCTAATGTTTGAATCACTGCAGAGTTATATATTCTTCAGACCCATTCAGATGGCCAGGAAAGATTTTGAGAAAACCCTGAAAATATCTCAGGCAGAGGGGAAATGGTTGTTGGAATGACTTTTCCAGTCCCTCAGGCTCCATAAGGAGTCACCTGTCAGTTGAATGAGGGAGACCTAGATGTCAAGGAAGTCCCAAATATAGCCCTTAGAAGCCTTGATGCTGGCTCCAGAGGTTCTGTGAACAAAATCTTCTTTATTGCCCTCTTCTTCCTAAAATAGTCTTGCCAAGACTCCAGCTCTGAATTTGTCCTTTGTAGACGATTCATTTTGACAACCTTTAATTCCTGCCACATTCTGTGTCCAATGCTACGTAACTATTCATGTTGGTCTCTGCCTAACAGACAGGAAGCTATCTCTGTCGCCCCATCATCTAAGGTCAAAAAGAAATTATATACAGATTGTCTGAACTTTCAGCTTTTGTGCATTATGTGCTGCTTTTTCTACTCCATTTTTACATGTCAAAACTTACCAACTATATTAAACATCTTCAACATTCAGTAGAGATCATTATGATCTTTAAACTTTCAAATATCTCTACATACAGGATATAGAGCAATCAAGTATACATTATCAAGGGTTATCATGTATATGATGAGCACCCATAGCAAAAGAATGCTTACATTTGGACATAGGGCAGACTTATTCTTTGACACCAATCTTATAATAATTGAGATTTAAATCCATGCCCAGAAAAACTACAGTTGATTACATGTCACAGATAAACACAATGATTTTGGAAGATTCTCAATCCCTACTTACAGATAGGCTATTTCTTTTCTAGATAGAGGCAGGTACTAAATGCTTTACCTTGTATTTCATTTATTCCTCTCAAGAACCCTACGAATTCGGTATTAACATTATCCTCATCTTAAAACTGAAACTTGGAGAAATAAAGTAATTTGCCCAAGATAATGGAGCTTCTAAGTAGAGAACCCAGATCTGCTTGGCTCCAGAACCCAGGCTCTTAACTGCTCTGTGCTCTTTGACCTTTGTTAAAGACTGAAGTGAGGCTGTTCACTGCAGAGGACTTGAGGAGTCCACAGGATCTACATTCTGTTTCTACCATGGCCTGAGATCACTGACCCATTCTTTCATCTCAGTTAAACCTCCCAACCTAATGCGAACTGGGAAAAAGTCTCATTTGTCTTATTACTCTCTGGGGTTGTCCCACCCTATTCTCTATAGAAGCGGGGGTGACTCAGAGGCAAAATCCTGCCTGGCGTGATTCACTCCCTGACGAGGAAGATGAAAGACAAGGAGCGGTGAGCAAGGCCGGTGGTGGTGGGCAGGGCAGGGCAGGGCAGGGCAGGGAGCAGAGAGCGGGCCAGGCTGCAGACAGAGTACGTACAGATCCAGAGCGCGCGGAGGTGGTGCTCATCATACTGTCGCAGCTGCCGACGCGGGTGGCGGGTTCCAAGCCAGGCCCTGCTGGCCACAGCTCTCTCTCGGGCATCGCCTGAAGCAAGGTGCAGGGGTGGTGAAAGGGGCTCCCAGAGGGGAAGTGAAGGGAAGTGGAGAATGTCCCAGGCTGGGCCTGAAAAGAGAAGAATCAAAGCCACGTGTGAGCTGAGCCAGGCTCCAGCGAGGCTCTGCACAGGCCCTGGAGCAGCGTGGCACCCGGGACACAAAGCAAGCAGAGAGCTGGAAGGGGCCATGCTCAGCCACGCCCAGACCCCGACCCCAGCCTCACCAGGGACACACAAGCTGGACACGCACATGCAGGAGGACGGACTTAGGTGGTGGAGAAGCAGTTCAGCAGAAGGGAGCCTCCATCATTTCTCTCTATTTTTTTCTCTGGACCAGGGAACTTAACCTAGATTTTCATTACTAGCATTGGTATTACAGGGGTTAAACCTTGGGTTCTGGAGAGTAGCTGGATCTGGGTTCCAATTCCAGTTACACCATTTACAGTGATGTGATTTGAGGCAATTTACTCTGAGTCTGTTTTTCCTCATTAAATAGGGTTAATAATACGATATAAATGAGAACAGTTAGCACAGTTTAGTTGGTAGTAAATTAGCAAATGCTTAAGGAATAAATGAGTAACTACTACTGTTTTTGTAATAAAAAAAAGACAAGATCCAACTTGGATCAAAGTAGACTGAAGCAAGGGAAACAAAAGTTTTTTTTTTTTTTAAAAGGAACAAGGGCATAATAGTACCTACCTCAAAGGGTTGTCATGAATTTATAATGAGATACTCCATTTAAAACACTTTGTGCAGTGTGCGGCCCTGTAATTGTCAGCTGCTACCATAGCCACATCATCAACATCAACGCGATGACTCCCACCACAGCCACCATCATTGCCCAAGTCTGGGAGGTGTGTGCAAGGCACCCCGTGGCTGACACAGGCCTAGTTCCTCTCTCATGCATCACCCCCTCTGAGGCTGCACTTATTCCCAATGAGGTTCCCTGACCTGTCTTGCATGAACAAGAGCAAAGTCCTAGGTGGCTTCCTTCCAACTCCAACTTGTAGGGAAAGAATGGCTTCAATTTCACTGTGCCAACAGAAATAGCAAAGCAAGGTTAGTGCCATCTATCTTCAGGAAGTCCCGGGGGTTTTCATATTCCCGTTCATGGGGAAAACTCCACCAGAGTTGGAAAGGCCAAAGGTGACTCTCCTATGTTAAAATGAAATTCTAGAACAATTAAGATTAAAAGACAGTTCCAAGATCAAGAAAGGACATGGGGAAAGAGTTTAGAATTAGAATATAATTGGATTCTGAATATGTTGGATTCTGAATCCATGGTTTCCTCATAGTGCTGTGTCTTATTTTCTACCATCTTTCCTACTCTCCCAGTACGAGGTAAAATGTCCTGGAAAATAAAATTTTATTTGACATCTTGAGACTTGGGGTTTAGATTCTAGAGCAGGTTGTCTTTTCAGCCTGTACCAATAATTGCTTCCAATGCCAAAGTCAGGCTTGGGCTGTGCTGGGGGTGCCTGCCAACCACCTCGAGCTGACAAGCACAAGGTTTCTCAGAGCTCCTCTCCTGCCGGGGAGGAGGCCCTCAAGTGCCACAGGTAGGGAGGGGCAGAACAATGGAGAAGGAAGAGGGACGATCTCTTATGAGCAAGATATGTGTAGTTCATGAGGATCTAGAGCCTCTTAGGAGAGACAGAGGGGACCAGAGGGGACGGAGATGAAGCCCAGTGATGAATCAACTCAGGTGAAGATAACTCCTGGGTTTCCTTCACGAGTTCCTTCACTAGTTCCCCATTATCCAAAACCCCAAAGAAACAAACGTGAGAAGTCATGCAAGATGAGGTTCAGTCACCTCAGCTAGCCTCTCCACTAATGACTGACTAGGTCACTGACTTCCAGAAGTACTAACTCATTTCTAACATTCTGTAGGTTTGAGACCAACAAAGAGGATCCATCTCTCATCTCTCATTCATTAGCCTAGGCACACGGAAGGCACTCAAAAAATGTTAGATGAAGAAACCTGTCGTTCATTCTAGAGTCTGCTGAGTTGCACGGTTGGAAGGTTGCTTTTTTTGGCTTCTACACTGTTACTGCAAGCTCTTTTTCAAATATTTTATTTCCCAGAATATATGTGGTTTAATGGAGTTTTGGGAAACACTTTCAGTTACAGTAACATTTATTAGCACCCAGTTGGCCCTGGGCATGCAAACTTTACTAAGACAAAGGTATTGTTTCCAAGAAGTCAGTGTAGATCCAAGGGTCTGTTTTATTGGCTCTAGCTTTCCTATCTGTAACATTGGGGCAGTAACTGTTAAAAGTGACTCACTGTAATTAATGGAATGTTCTCTGTGAACAGATATGCAGATGCTGCCTTTTCCTTTCAGAAAAAAATTACTGCCTTGTTCTTCCAAGCACGTGTCGGACTTTACAGGGGTTTGCTAGCCTCTCCTTCCTCCCAGGGCAGCCTAACACACTCTCACTTTGGAACCAAGGATGGCTTGAAGCAGCTGGAAGAGATAGAAACAATATGAACAGCACTGCTTCAAAAAACACAGCAGGGTATAGCTTATAAAGTGCTTTCAGATATGCTAATTGAGTTTTTTAAAAAAACTGCTAGCTTAGGCAGGATGGGATATTTTTTCCACTTGACAGCTAAGAAAGCTGGGTTTCTTTCTAACTCCCCTTCCTATGGGAAGTAGGAAACGATCCATATAACTGCATCTATGGGACAGCCCGTGGCTCCCAGCCCTTCTAGAGGGTATCACAAAGGCTTTCCACATGCAAAAGGGCCATGTACCTAAAGAAGGACCATTGGCCACCCCTGACTAAACACTGAAAACCCCAGGAACATCCTCTTTTGATTCAACTTTATGCATCCAGGCCAGTTTTTTGTCCCAACAACAGATATTTCCAGAGTAAAGAAATGACATCAACTGTTGCTGACACTCAAGTAAGCACAACAGAATCACCACAGAGATTAACCTGGACCTGAAACCAAAGCTGAATGAGCCCCTGTGTGCTTCCACCTCCCTTCCACACCTAGTGTTCTGATCCCAAACGTCTGAACCGTGAAGATGCCTTCTCTTCTTCCCACTCCCTCTCCAGGCTGACCTGACCTGGATGCTGCATTTCCTTCCACCAACTTTACAACCTCAATTGAAACTTGTGGGCTGTTTCAGGGCAGCCATTTTGAAACCTGAGGTATTTCTACTTGATAAGCAGAACAACAGGCAAAACACTCAAGGTGAGAGTTTGGTATCTTTGAACACTTGACCTCTTTGGGCAGCTTGAGGGGAGAAAGGAATGGATTAAGAGATGTGCACAGCCTGTATCAGCGTCACCCATGCAAAGGCATATTAAATATTAACCACTCCCTGAAGCCAGCCAAGCCTTGGAGGAGAGTAAAAAAAATGGCATGTGGCATTCTGGCATCTGGACGGGGTGGGGTGGGAAGAGGGCTCCAGCCCACTCCTGTTTGGCTCCTCTGTACCTCCTGAACAGTCTGAAGGCTCCCTGGTCACCCTCCTCCCATGAAACCACCCCCAAATCCTCTAAGAACTCATCTCTCTCCCTAGTGGTCAAAGAGGTTTCCTATCTCCAGGTCTCCAGGTCTCCTGCTGACCAGTCAAATGTGCCTTGGACTGGAGCACATCCTAACGAGGCCAAGAAGACTAAAAGTTGCGCTGTATGCATATCCCTCTCCACACCACATGGGCAGGTTTCCATGTAAGTTTAGGCAATTATATAATTGTCTCTTTCACTAGTAGATTTGAGGGAGAGTGGGGTGGAAACATCCCCTGTGCAGAAGGGCTTTGCTTGACATCATAGCTCATCCTTATTGCTGACAAGGTCACCATCTGTGGCAGCCCTCAGTCACTGAGCTTGGCGGGCTGGTTCTGGGGTGTGGGCTGAGCTAGAGCCTAAAGGTTCTGGTGCCAGGAAGAAACCCAATTCAGGGCTTGCGTGCCAGGCTCTGGGATCCTGGCACTAGATCTTCCCACTTCCTTTTTCTGGAAGCAGGAGGAAAAGGCGTCAAGTTAAGGAACAGAGTGTTAACTCCCACAAGCTAGAGGATGGAGAGCTGACTTGTTACTCTGACTTGGCTTCTACACCCAGCGTCCGTGTGCGGGGAACACTGCCGCACACACTGCCAGCAGGACACCTGAAGGAATGCAAAGAAAAACCACGGCACTGGTCTGGTTCTTCTCTCTGGACCCTGCCACACTGCTTCGGCCTGAACCCCTCTCGGAATTCCTACTAGACTTGACATGCTATGGTGAAGTATTAACGTGGGTGGGGCCCTGGCACAGCTGAGTAGCTTCCAGTTTGACAGGCCTTGTGTCTATTAACAGGCAAAGTAAGACATTTAATGAGGTTGAACTCAAATAGGCTTGACTTTGCAACTAGATTATCCATGGGCTTCCAAAGATGAGCTGGTAACCACACTTGGAGTTTTTCCAATGTAACCAAACCTCACATCGCCTTACAAACAACCTAGCACGGCTCACACCTTACACACCCTTCCACAAGGAGCTCCTTTATCACGCGCGCGCACACACACACACACATACACACACACACTGAACACACACACTGGACCTTTTATTTAAATAAAGATAGACATTGAGTTGATAAAGCTATGGGAAAATTTCCTGTTAGAAATGCAATGGAAAACCAAAGCACTTTTCCTCCCCTGGGCGATTTTCCATTTCTACTCCGTCTACTCCAACTATTCTCTTCCAAAATCACAACTCAATTTCAATTGCTCAGAGATGGAAATTTCTAAAGCAAACTTGTTTTCTTTTCTTGTTTCCTGCACAGTATGCTTTACCCAACCTAAACAGGCAGATGAAAAAAAAAAAATGCATCTCAGCCCCGGTCTTCAGAAAAGCACACCCGTCTCCAGCTATCAACCTACTCCGGTGCACTAAGGGCTCAGAGAGTCGAGGAAGAGAGAGGAAAGTCCCCCAGTTGCGTTATAAAGGGCTCAACTCTGTAGCTCTGGCTTCCACGAAGACCCCGACTCCTGCTGCAGAGTAAGCAATAGTTGGTTAGTAATTAACTCACCTTCAATGGGCAGGTGACTGAAGAGAGGAAAAGAAGAGAATGCCCTCGTATTGCAAAGGGCGGAGACGGAGAGACAGCGTGCCCGGTCTCCTACTGTTTTCTTCTTTTGACCTCTTTCTGACTTACCTGGACAGGTAAAGGCTTCATCCGCGCGGCCTCACCCCGCCCTGCCCGACTCCCAGCCAATCCCAGGCCTCCCTCCCCACGTCCGCTTCCAGCTGTTTCCCCGGGGAGGGCGCGGGCGGGGCGGCTCGCTTAGCCAACCGCCTCTGGCCCCCCTTCCCTCGCCGAGAGCCAATAGCGAGCCTTTAAGCCCAGACGAGGGCCGGCAGGAGGAGCCGCTGGTTTGGGCAGAGGCTTGGACGAGAGTAGGCATGTTATCCCTTTCAGGTGTCTTGCTACAGAGAAACGCAGTCCAGTGGGCAGTGTGCTTTTCCGTGCGCCTGTCTGAAACTTGAGTTTCTATCTGTAACTGCCTTCTTCGTCTCGAAGTATTCTTCAAAGTAAAAATCCTTTGTCTTTTCCAGTCTTTCAGAGTCACTGTCGCCCTTAAGTGTTTTCCTAGCGGCTCCACTCAGGACAGGGGCGCCGGCTCTGAGACACCGTGACAAAGACCTTCTGGGGGAAATAAAACTGTTTTCTCTCTCAAGAGGTCCCTATTCTGAGGGAGAAAGGGACCGGACAGCCTGGAAAGAGAGAACATGTACGCCGTCATTTGGGTCTCTGGTCTTTTAGCTGTGTGTGGAAGGTAGCAATGAATATGAAGAAATACAAACGAAAGAAGCTACCAATCAGTTCTGCAACTCGTATCTGCTTCCAATGGCAGATTTCTGGCACCTGTAGTTAAAACATCCGGAAGAAAGTAGGGCGAAGACACTAGGTGAAAGAATCTAAAGCTTTCAGGAAGGAATCTTCCTCCAGGAATGGCGATCACTTTCACCAGATATACCTTTTGCGTGGAAACTGGATCTTCCTGGATATATGTTATCCTCGATACCAAAGGGCAGGAAGAAAAATTAAAATCAATGCACATAGTAATTGCCAACATTTTGTTAAGCTCTTGTTATGCAGTGGGAATCGTGCTGTGCTAAGCATTTTCATACATCATTTCATTTATGATGAAAAGTAGGCACTATTAATATACAAATTTTTACAAAAAGGAGAAATGACTTGCTCAAGATCATGTAGCTACGACATGGCAGAGCACGGATTTCAACTTAGGCAGTATGCCGTCAAGTTTGCCTTGTATCAATACGATGCCAATCAGTCTCTATTTTGGAGAAAAATCCTAAGTAGGAAACGTGAAGTACACAGATAATGTGCAGGTCTAATTCTAATAACTAGATTCACCCTTCTTGCCTCATTTCTGTCTTGCAGCTGTTCCTGTCCTTTAGAACAAGAATGACACAGGGCTTTCATCTTTTCTCTGTGTGATCTCTGTAGTTGTGATCATTGCAGGAGAGCAGTGATCATGCGGCTAACCTACAGAAAAGGCAGGCAGGACTAGTGAGGAGAAAGGAGGTTTGAGGAAGCCTGGAATAGCTCAGCACCTGTCAGTGCATGTGAATAGCAGAGCTGACCGAGCATTTAGTCAGCTGACTGATGATCTCTCCTCCTGATGTGTCATTCAAATATGTATGATGTCATAATACTAACAAAACAGGAAGGGCATCTCCAACTCAGAAGTTCAATGCAACCAGAGTTACACCTAAGGATTCAGTCACTGAAGCTGATCCAGCTTCATAGGTGTGCGGTTTGAATATTTGCTAAAAAAAAATGAATTGACTTATGAGCATTAACCTCAAAGATGAGAGGAGGCATAGTCTTGTTTGTGAACAGTTTTTCAGTTTATAGTAAAATTAGAATAATTAGGAAGAGCCCCTATCTTTTCCCAGGTAGAAGTAGGGACATAGACAAAATGATCTTACTATTGCTCTCTTTCCTTGTTTAAAAAATTTTATTTTTGAAAATTATGAAATATTTCAGATACTTTGGCATAGCAGACAGCACTGTACCTAATACCCAGTTCAAGAAATAGAACATTAACATTACAGTTGAGGTTTCTTACAAACTTTGCTCCTCACCCCTTCCTGCCTCCTCAAAACAGACACACACTCCAGCTGAAACAAATCGCTATTCTGAATGTGGTGTTTTCCATTCTCCATATCTTTAAATGTTTTCCTTGGAATCTTGCTTGATTTTTCTTTGCTTTCTTTACTTTGGTGCAGGAGAAATATCAGGTCTCTGAGTTTCCAAGAGAATGGGGAAGGAGGCCTGGACTATGGGAAGGAGAGGATTTCCAAAGTTAGAAGCACCTGAGAGACTTAAGGCTCCATGGTTGATGTAGGTCGTCACTTGAGAGGAGCGGATGTTGTTTATTTGTATGTGAATTCCTGTCTGATGACCTGACTGTGGAATCTAATTACAGTCCAGCGCACCTGACTCATTGGTCTCCTCACTCCTCCGTCCTTGCGTGCTGCTGCGGTACAATCATCTTCTCGACTGTCAGAAACTTGTTTATTTCCTTTTTCAGTACAGCCTCCTCTTTGAGGAAACTCACTCTTTCCTCTTTGGGCTCATTATAAAGTTGGACTTTCTGCAAAACACAGTGGACCTCCATCTAACCATTCATGATACTTACCTATTTACATTACAGCCACATCCTAGCAATGCCTTTCTTCTCCTTTTCCTCTTCAAAGGAAAAAAAAAAAAAATGAAGTCACTTTGAGCTTGTATTATCACCTACCCTAGGAAACACTGGGTGCCCACTATGTTCACAGTATAGGGCACAGTACTACATGCTAGGTCTCTGAAAGAACTTCTATTGGGGAGAGGGAAGGTTTTATTCCTCAAGTAGTAGCTAGAATTTGCTTTCAAGAGAAAATAGTTGGGAAAGGATTCAGATGAGGATGATTATAATTTGGCTATGAGCCAAGGAATTGATAGTGAATTCCATGTGGAATTAAGGGATCAAGTAGATCACCAAGTTCTCACCAAACTGATATTAGTGTTAAGCCTGAAATAATTAGATGGGAGCTAAAAGGCATAATTAAGTGGATTCGGATGAAGTTTTGAAATGACTTAGTTGTTAAGTAATTGCTCATAGTTAACTTTTTTCCCGCTTGGCCCACCTACCATGAAAACTTAGAGGATTCAGTAGTCCTTTTCTTCCCAGGACTAATAAAAGTTTGGGGGCTGAGATCATCTAGTAGCATCAGTGAGTTTTGTAAGGAATGTCAAATCTTAACATGTTCGAAATGGAACCTCTCTTAGCTCTGGCCTCTCTATCCGCACACCAGCTCATTGCCTTACCCAGACTCAGTACTTGAAACCATCCCCCATATCTCCTGTGAGATCACTCTCATAACTGCCTGTGGCTCTTCTCCACTCTGATCAGGACTTGGCTTTTTGTAGGATCACAGACCACTACAGATGGAGAAACTGCAGAAGCTCCTTGTTTCTTGTCTCTCATTTTATAAAGGCACATTTGAACTGTCATTCCTTTGATTAAGATACTTTGGGGTATGGTTCATAGCGTTCGGAATGAAACTCAAGGTCCCTGTGGGGCATAAAAAGACCCTCATAAGCTGGGCCTACATGCTTTTCCCACCACATATTCATCCATTCTCTTTATTACAGTCGCATCTAATTTTTCTGAAGCTGTCCTCCTTTCAGGCTGCTGGGCTGCACCCTTTGCTTGGATGCATTCCCACCCTGTTCTCCTGGCTTCCTCTCAGCCAGGAGAGGGTTCAGCCCGAGCACTGCCTTTTGGAATAGAACATTGGGTGCTGATTCATTGTAATCTGTTAACAAAATGAACATTATCTCTTGATTTAACCCTCTAGGATGTAATTGTCCTCTTTCTTTCCATGAAAAATTTGAATTGATGATATTTTACATTGCAATAATTTAAAACATATCTGGCAATGGGCTGACTGATTTCCATTATCTTTCTTAAAATGCTTCTAACATTCTTTATGTTCTTCATTTATTATTATAGATATCTATATTGAAAAATTGTTTAATAAATAAGAGATATCAGGTTTAGCAGTATTTACAAAGAACTGTAGCTTAAAGCCATATTCAACCTTGGACAGTGTTAGGGAGCATAAATTGATAATATTTGGATCTCCCAGCAAGCTCTTAGTAGCTCTACACAAAATCATTTGTTGAAATTGTCAATTTAAGAATTTATTTTGCTGCTCAAACTTATTATTTCTTGGAATACTTTTCACAGAATTTGCGTTAAGTATATTATAACTGTAATACAGTAATATTTATTTTTTCATTGTTAGCAGTACACAGGGCCATAGACTACATACTTACATAATGGTGACAGTTATCAGCCAGATAGATGGATGAGACTGTAACCATTTCCCTCTGATCTGCTAGTGTCTAGGTACTCAGAAATGTAAACTTTAACTTTCGACTCCACATGTTAGAATTTTCTGCTCTTGCTTTTTTTTTTTAATCATTGGATTCCTTGAAGTCACTAACATCTCTTCACAAGAAGGTTGGCATTGCAGATCAATCAACATGGCAGAGTAGGAGGATGGGGAACTTCCCTCCCCTTGTGAACACATCAAAAAGAAATGTACATGTGAAGCACTTCTCTCTGAAAACTAACTGCAATTTGGCAGAAAGATTTCTGTAAACCAAAGCTGTAAGAGAGATACACACATAATCAGATAGGAAGGAAGACAAAGTGATCATGTTGGAACTTGTGCCCCTGGAAAGGACTCGGGGGGAAAGGGAGATTATGCAGGCAGAGACCCACTTTGGGGAGTAAGCAGTTTGGGCCACAGACTGGGCACCCAGTCCTGGGGTCCTACCCAGGGGAGACGAGACCCCTTGGCTGGTCATAGGAAGAGCGGGACTAACAGGAGGGCTGAGGAAAGCCTGAACCCTGCTCTTGAGGAGTGCATGCATACTGGCTTGTCCTCAAGGCAGAGTTATTAGGATGGAATGACCTGACCACTTCAGCACGTGCCCCAGCCTGAGCCAAGTGAATGGTTCAGTCCTGCTTACTCAATGTTGCAGCTTGGCACAATCACAGAAAGAAGAATAAGAAAAGCACAAGCACATGGATACTAAATAACTTACTACTTAAAAACTAGTGGATCAATGAGTATATCAAAGAGGAATCA